CACTAAGTTTGATCTCACTCACTAACCTGGTCTGTATGCATTCCTCGTTATGAATCAACTTATGTGTATACTTGATATAACAATTGTTGTCATTTACATTTCTTTACTTTTCCGCAACTGACTTTCTAACCTTCTAACTCTAACTTATTAATATTATTGTTGAGCTTTTAGATCCTTCGAGATAAACTATTCCGCAATATACTTGTTCTAACGTTTGTTCAAGTGTGTCTCAAAGTTTTTCTCTCAACAGTATGTTGTACTCATGTCAAGATTTGTTCCTAAGGATTTTTGCAATGATTCCCAAAACTGTGAGGTGAATCTACTATCTTGGTCAGAGATTATAGATATTGACACACCATGCAACCGTACTATTTCTTTTAAGTACATCTTTGTTAACTTCTCCATTTTATATGTTTCTTTTATTGGCAGGAAGTGGGCGGATTTGGTTAATTTGTCGACAATAACCCAAATGGTATCATGACCACCCGTTGTCCTGAGCATCTTGGTTATGAAATCCATTGTAATTCGCTCCCACTTCCATTTAGGGATTTCAGGTTGTTACAATAAACCTGAAGGTATCTGGTACTCTACCTTGACTTTGGCACAAGTAAGGCACTTGCTCACAAAGGTAGCAATTTCGGCCTTAATGTTAGGCCACCAGTATAGTTTCTTGAGGTCCAGATACATCTTGTCTGAACCTGGATGAATGGAGTATCGGGTTTTGTGTGCTTCATTCATAACCACATCTCTGTAACCACCAAACATTGGTGTCCAGATCCGGTTCATGAAACAATAGACACCATCGTCCCTGAGTTCGAAGTTCTTATCCATTCCTCTCAAGGTTTCACCTGCCACGTTTTCGGGTTTCAAGGCCTCGAGTTGAGCCTCTCTGATCTTTATGGACAGATGTGAATGGATTGTCATGGTCAATGACTTTAATCGGCATCCTGAGTATTCTTTTCTGCTAAGGGCGTCAGCTACTACGTTAGCTTTACCAGGGTGATAAACAATCTCAAATTCGTAGTCATTCAGTAGCTCCACACACCGTCGTTGTCTCATGTTTAGCTCTTTTTGGTCGAAGATATGCTGGAGACTTTTATGGTCCATGAATATTGTGCATTTCGTGCCATATAGGTAGTGTCTCCATATCTTCATGAGAAAATGTCACTGCTCCTAGCTCAAGGTCATGCATTGTATAGTTGACCTCATGTGTCTTAAGCTGTCTTGAGGTGTAAGATATAACCTTTCCTCGTTGCATCAAAACACATCCTAGCGCTTGATTAGAAGAATCATAGTACACTACAAAGTCCTCTATCCCTTCGGGTAGAGACAAGATCGGTGCACTGCACAAAGCTCGTTTCAGCGTTTGGAACGTTGTTTCTTGCTTCTCTCCCCAACTAAAAGTTACACCCTTTTGTGTCAGGGTGGTAAGCGGTTTAGTGATTCGGGAGAAATTTTGGATGAATCTGTGATAGTAGCCAGTTAGCCCTAAGAATTGTCAGATTTCTGTAGGTGTTTTGGGTGCTGACCAGTTTTCAATTGCCTTGATTTTAGAAGGGTCCACGTGTATTCCTTCTGAACTAACCACGTGACCCAGGAAATCTACTTTCCTAATCCAAAATTCACATTTTGAAAGCATCGCATAAAGTTTTTCGGTTCTTAGAGTTTGTAATACTTGACGAAGATGTTGGCCATGCTCCTCTTTGCTTCTTGAGTAGATAAGGATGTCGTCAATGAAGACTATGACGAATTTTTCCAGGAATGGACGACAAACTATGTTCATTAGATCCATGAACACAGCAGGTGCATTTTTCAATCCGAATGGCATCACTACAAACTCGTAATGACTATAACGAGTTCTAAACGCGGTTTTGAGAATGTCCTCCTCCAGAATCCATAACTGGTGATACCCGGATCTTAAGTCTATTTTCGAGAAGTAGCTCGCACCTTGAAGTTGGTCAAACAGATCGTCAATGCGAGGCAAAGGATATCGATTCTTGATGGTAAGTTTATTTAGCTCGCGGTAGTCTATGCACATACGGAATGATCCATCCTTGTTCTTTACGAATAAAACAGCTGCTCCCTGGGGTGAGAATCTTGGTCTTATGAAACCTTTGTTAAGGAGTTCGTTAAGCTGGCTGGATAATTCCTGCATCTCAGAAGGTGCAAGACGATAGGGGGATTTGGCTACTAGGGTAGCCCAAGGGATTAAGTCGATTCTGAATTTGACTTGTCGTTCGGGAGGCACTCCTGGAAGATCGTCGGGAAAAATGTCGGGAAAGTTGCAGACCTCAGGAATGCTCGCAACGTATTTCACTTCTTGCTTTTTATCTACCACGTGAGCTAAGAAAGAACAGTAATCTTTGTGAAGGTACTTTTGTGCCTTGATGCAAGAAATGATCTGAAGGTTTGTTTCGGGTTTGTGGCCGTAGATAATAAGAGTTTCGTTAGTTAGCAAGTTCAGGCGAATGACTCTTTCATTGCATAGGATGTCGGCATGGTTAGAGCACAACCAATCCATACCTATTATGGCGTCGAAACTCTTGATAGAGACTGGCATAAGGTCTATTTGGAACGAAAAGTTATTCAAGGTAAGGGTACATCCTATGTATATATCGTTGGCGTATTCGGATTTCCCGTTAGCCATTTCGACTGTAAAATTTTTATTTAGTGGTTGGGAGTTTTGATTTAGCATGTGTTTGAAATTATGGCTCACGAAGCTCTTCTCAGAACCACAATCAAATAGAATGAATGCATAAGTATTGTTGAGAAGAAACGTACCCGTGACTACTGCAGGGTCTGCCACTGCTTCTTCGTGACCCGTTGCTAGAATCCTCCCAATTCCACTGGCATTTCCAGCTTTTGGACAATCTCTCTTGAAATGCCCCATATCACCGCATTGATAGCATGCTTAACCTACTTCAGCGACAGGTACTTGGTTAATCGATTGGGGTGGTGACCTATAGAATCGGGCAGTGTGCCCTTTTCTGTTGCAGTTACGACACTACATTTCCCGGCAATTTCCGTTATGGTGAAAATTGCATTTGTTGCATTTGGGGAGATTTACTAGCATATGGCTTAGCTGGTGCAGGGTTAGCAGGAACAGCAGCAGGTACAGTAGCAGCATGGACCGCCACTAATTGTTGCTTCTTTGAGGGTTCCTGAGAAGAATTGCCCTTTCTCTTATTCCAGGCTTTCTTCTTGATGTTGTTATTGTTACTGATGTTGTTGTTTCCCTTGGGTTGTTCTAGGGCAACAACCACTGAGTTTTGACGGACTCTGTGGTCGATGAGCGACCATGCCAGTTCCTTGGAACTATCAAAGGTAATAGGCCTAGAAGCAATGACACTAGCCTGAATCTCGGACGATAGTCCCCAGATATACCTCTCTATCTTTTTTCTCTCTAGAGCAACCATCTCTGGACAAAGTATCGCTAAGTCACATAATCTATTTGTATAGGTTGTTATGTCTGAAGCAATCATTGTAAGACCCCAGAGCTCTTGCTCAAGTTTCTGAATTTCCCCTCGCGGACAGTATTGCCGCATTAGCATGGTCTTTAAGTTCTCCCAACTTATGGAGTTAGCCACTACTAAGTTTAGTGACTTAACATGGCCGTTCCACCATGTTAGGGCTCTATCAGCAAAGGTACAAACAGTGAATTTGACCTTGCAACTCTCCGGACAGGAGCAAATTTCAAAAATTGCCTCTGTCTTCTCAATCCATTGTCTTAACGCCATAACTCCTCCAGTGCCATTAAAGGTCCTGGGTTTAGCGTTTGAGAAATCCTTATAGGTACACTCTCGTGAGTGCCCGTGATTCTCGCCGTGGTTGGGGGGATGTGTACCAGTTCCTGATCCACTTGCACCAGGGGTGTTTATATGAGTCATAGCAGCTGCAACAGCTGCCGCGACCACCACCTGAAACATGACAGCGTCGAATTGAGGAGGTGGTGGAGGAGGTGGTGTTGGCGCTTGATTAACAGTGTTACGTCTTGGGTTTCTCCGAGGAGGCATCTTTTACTATAAAAGTTAAAAGTTGAAACGATGATAAGATATCAAGAGTGAGTATGAATATTATATCTCTGAACTAAAATACTTAGGTTGTGTTTGGTACAGAGAAATGGAATTGCTGCGGAGAATGGAAATGCAGAGAAAGAGAATTAAGCTGGAGAAAGAGAATTGACTCCCCTGTTTGGTAGAACTGAGAATCCACTAGCGAAATGTTTTTAAGAATCATTTCTCTTGTTTGGTTGTATTAATCAATGAAATGGAAATGAGTGTTTTTACCTTGTTTATTCATTTTCAAATAACATATTTTTTATAAAAATGCATTTTGATGTACATCTTAATTAGTCAAAATATGCATCTTTTATGTTTTTTATTATTTTTTTATATTAATTGTTACTAAATAATTTATTTTCTAAACAATTAATACTATTTTTTATAAATATTGTTTTGGAAAACATATTTCTAATATAAAGGAATAACTTACAAATAGATTATAAGGATATATGAAAATTATACTATTCAAAAACTATGTCCAATGAAGGATATGCAAAAATTATAATTCAATATTTCTAACAACTAAAAAAACATAACTATGTCCGATACACAATGTGCAAAGAGTCAACTTCAATATTCGTAAAAACTAAACAAAAAACATAACTTAAAATAACCTAATCATGATATTGATCCATCCCCTGTCATTTCCATGTAACAAATCTTTTCTTCTTCTGTCATCTTAAAAAATGCCCATGCACGAAATTGATCTTTGCTAAACATGTCAATCGCCTTAATTCGCTGTTTGACATTCATATTTAGCATGCGTTGTATATCTTCGATAACTTTATCTATCATATCACATGCTTCCTTATTTTCTTGCCTTCCTATATTGTATATTGTTTCATTAAGTTTTTCACCAACCTCCTTGAAAGTCTCTTTCATTTCTTTCGCAGCATCCTTATAAGAGCTTTCGGTGTCATCCGTTGTAGGCCTTTTGCATTAATTATTGCCACGAGCAATTTGTTGTGTCTCTTCAACAATATCTTCCAACCCTTCCACATCAACATGTGAGTTTCTTTGTGTCTCTTCAGTGGCATCTTCTCCAAGATCAGTAACTCCATGACCAGTAGCTCTATCCTTACCGAAGATTTTACATAGGTTATCGAATTGTGGAAATGGTTTATCGCGAAAACATGCAGCATCTTTATGACTCTACGAGAATGACACAAAATTAATTGGTTACTATTCATTTACAATATGTTTTAATGATGCAAAAAATACTACAAACATAATCATTATAGTACCTTTATGTATTCATCCCAAACTTCAACATCATCGGTAACACAACATTTATCTGTATCCCAGCCGAATCCACTCGTGTTTGTTCCGTATACGATGTCATGCACGATGTTGAAATGGTTTTTCCATGTCTTCATCCTCAATTTAATTTGAGGCTCTGATTTCAAACCTGAGTTAGGAAGACTTACATCTAATAATTGTTGCACGACCTTCAAATAGCCGGGTTTGAATCCGTTGTCGGCACCACCATACTTTTCGGGTACATGTAGCTCCAACAATGCTTCAATCAACTTTGCATCCTCTTCGGTCGTCCATGTGTGTTTGTTTCGCCCTGCCATGCCTACAAAAAATGTTTACAAAATAGATGCTTGAAATAGTAATTCAACCATTAAACATAATATTATCACACCACAATGAATACAAAATATTATACAACAATCCTAATAGCCCCTGTTTAGGGTTGTATAACTTAGTCATAACTTAACCAAATAAACTATTTTTTAATTCTAAAACGTAGACAAGACAAAACACTACAATTTGGAAAAAAAAATCGCCTAATTACGAGGTCGTATGAAACTTTTATGATGGTTCAAAGTTTGACAAAAATTATTAAAAATGTTGTCATTATATACAACAGTCGTAACAGCCCCTCTTTAAGGCTGTATAACTCAACCATATCTTAACCAATTAAGCGGTTTTATTATCCTAAAGCGTAGACAAAACAGAGGACTATAATTTGGAAAAAAAATCGCCTAATTGTGAGGTCGTATGAAACTTTTATGATGGTTCAAAGTTTGACAAAAATTATAAAAAAATGTTGTCATTATATACAACAGTCGTAACAGCCCCTGTTTAAGGCTGTATAACTCAGCCATATCTTAACCAATTAAGCTGTTTTATTATCCTAAAGCGTAGACAACACAGAGGACTATAATTTGGAAAAAAAAATTGCCTAATTCCGAGGTCGTATGAAACTTTTATGATGGTTCAAAGTTTGACAAAAATTATAAAAATATTGTCATAACATACAACAGTCGTAACAGCCCCTGTTTAAGGTTGTATAACTCAGCCATATCTTAACCAATTAAGTTGTTTTATTATCCTAAAGCGTAGACAACACAGAGGACTACAATTTGGAAAAAAAAGTTGCCTAATTCCGAGCTCGTATGAGAGTTTTATGATGGTTCAAAGTTTGACAAAAATTATAAAAAATACTGTAACAATGTAGAACAATCCTAACAGCCCATGTTTAAGGGTGTGTAACTCAGTCAAATATTAACCAATTAAGCTGTTTTTTGAGCCTACATTGTAGCCAATATAGAGGACTACAATCTGGGAAAAAATCTGCTTATTCCGAGCTAGTATGAAGATTTTATTGATATTCAAAGTAGGGTAAAAATTCCAAAAAAAAAACAAATCTACAACAGTAAAGCAACTTTCCATTGTACATACATAACATGTTAACAAATTGCAATCAATGACAGGATACGTTGCTTCCCTTTTGACAGTCAAGACTTATCTAGTGACAAACAATTGCTTGTAACATAGCAAGAATCAATTTTAACATCCAAAACCTTATACAAACTTGTAAAAAGAATCAATTCGTAGCAAGATGGTAACAAATTTTAAAAACAGATAGGAAGATTACCTTGAATTGGAAGATGACGGTTCCAAAATCGACTAAGAAGGAGCTACAAAGAAGGCGTGAATCGAGTAACACAACTGTCGTGAATGATTTTTCCATATGTATCGGCTTATGTAGGGCAAACGAGATTGAGTATGTTGACGTACGTGGGCCGATTGCATGGATATCCTTGAACAAGAGTGATCGATTGTATGTAGTAGGGTTCAAATGGGGGGTAAATTGATTTCTCCGGTTTTTTGGTTTTGATTCTCGGTCACACCCTCTTTTTTGTTTTCTCCCTTTTCTCTTTTAAAAATAGAGAATGGATTTAATGGAAAAGGAATTGATTTAATTCCCAATTTCTTAATTTTTGTATTAACCAAACAAGAGAAAAGGAATCAATTCCTTTTCCCAGCTTTTATTTCCCTGTACAAAACACCCCCTTAGTTCAATATGAATCTTGTAAAGAATTGGTAATAGAAGTCTATTATAAGTACAACTTGCAAAAAGATAATATGAACTTGAATGGTTATTTTTCAAAGAGTATGAAAATACATGTCGATTGTATTGGTATATTAAGTATATATAGTCTGGAAAACTTGACCATAAAGCAGGTCTATAATATACCATAATATTGGGAAAAATATCGACATCAAACCGACGTACCGAAAATGAAATTTTCGTGGTCATACTGAAAAATATGAAAAATAACACTAGAACATATTCATAGATTTACGCTATAACCAAAATACAACATATTGTTTGGAAAGTTGGACCTATCTAAAGGTCTACAGTACACCAACTTACTGAAAATAAAACATTTAGCCGAAGTCCTAATCTATAACAAAATTGGAAGTAGAATAAACACTATTTGCGTCGCGTACTGCGACGAGTACTAGACTCTACTTCCTGATGTTTGGTTTCCATTAGTTGTCTTTCCAAGGTAGTTTGATGCTCCCTTAATACCCTTATTTCTGTTAGGGAAGCATTCATTTGGTTTTGCAGTGCCTCAGTGTGGGTTTGGGATTCATCTTGTATTTCGTCGATACGACGAATATCCGCGACATTGATTTGTGCCGTTACATTAACTTCCAGGATCCGGTTTATTGAAACCCTCGCCTGATCGGTTTTGACGAGCTATGTGATGAACAATGACAGGAAGATCCCTGTCGGCTGATCCTCCATTACTGAGATCGGAAAAATCTCGGCACATTCCATATGGTGGGCGTTGGCCCTGCTGTCGGCTCCAGTGATATATGTGATCTCCCAAACTGACGTTGGTCCTTGATATTCTTGCCTGACTGCGGGAGGTGGGATGGCTGGTGGGGGATTGATTACCGTGGGTTTTGTGTCGGTACCCTCTGAATCTTCATCTTCATCTTCTTCTTCTTCTTCCTCTTCTGGATCCTCTTCCATAATTTCTTCTGGATCCTCTTCCGGATCCTCTACTATCCATCCTTCGTTACCGTGGTTTGGAAAGTAAGGGTCACCAGGTAAATGAAAAATGGCCATTGTGTCTGTGTGAGAATAAGGACATGAGAAGTGCATGAAAAACTAAAGCACGTAATATTAAACATCGATGTTAAACTATTGCATCTATAGTATCATAAAATACTCCTATAATATTTTAAATTTATGTTTTGTTCTAGAGTTCTGCTGTATATGTATAGTTGGTAAGTTTTAGACATGTCGCAACACTACCATCACTCCCAAACACATGTTGGTCATATCTAAAACCAATATAGTTGATCAGGCTATATTAATTCCAGATATGATTACATAACTGTCCAGGTTTGACTGTAGTGTCCAACATTCAAATACTTTTAAGTTCTTATGACTGAGATACTGTACTTGTAGGTATGAGTGTTAGTATACTTCTTATAAAAATACTTAAATTTATAAAAAAGTATACTTATAGTCATAGCTCTTAGCCCCAATGTATTTATAGTTTGTATATCTTTTATGGATTGATATACTGAGTTCACTATAAACAATGCTCTGATACCAATCTGTCACACCCCCAAACCAGACGGCGGAAACATACGGGGGTAGAGGACTTCATTTGTAGTATCACAACATATGCATCATAGTAATCAAAGTACAAACAACCATTGTATTTAAAAAGTATAAATATTTACATGTGTTCAATCATTGTATATTGAAACCAAAACAGTTATACAAAAGAAGAAGACATGACTTAAAATAGCTTCATCTTCTTAAAAGCTCGGGGAATACATGTGTACTAATTCCCTGAGAATACAAGTAATTTGAAAAGAGAGTATCAACATAAAGTTGAGTGAGTGCATAAGTATTTATGTTTGAAAGTATGTTTTCTGTTTCTTGAATATGTAAATTGTTCCAGAAAATCCTATATTTTCTGCTGTATATGAAAAGTAGTTTTAATTACATAAAACTGTTCTATTTGTAAATCAATGTTCTGTTATTGAATTCCTTTATGTATAAACTATAATAGTGAGAGTGTGCCTGGCTTAACCAACGTTTTATTGAATACTGAGATGTAATACTGTAAAAACTGTATCATAGTAAACTGTTACTTTGAAAATGTACTTTAGTTAATTATACACTAAGATATTGTTAATATCTTTTTAATGAATTACTATAACCATACTGAGACTAGATTACTGTAACATCCGGATTTTCGGGTATACTATTTTAAGTGTTTATTTTAAGAGTTGTGGAGTGACTCGACGAGTTGGTGCCTCAACTCGTCGAGTAGAGTCGCGACTGGTGACGTGGATTAATGAGTGGACTCGACGAGTCTGTGAGCCGACTCGCCGAGTTAGCGCTGCTGTAGGAAACCCTAATTTCTCGGGCTTGTGGCCTATTTAAAGGCCCTTACGGCCTCCCTTTGCGGCCTCCTTCCCCAGAGAGAAATCCTAACCTGCCCTTTTCGTGTATAAAGAGAGAGTGGCCATCTTGAGCATTCTTGAGCTTTTTGGAGGAAAGATTGGAAGAGTTGGTGGATCTAATCAAGAGAAGGCCGTAGATCTTGCATTCTTCTGTAATTAGCTGTTATTCAGAGGTATAAAGCTCTCATCTTGACCTTTTATTTGTTAGATCTGATTTTTGGGGAGCTTTTAGGGTTTTCTCTCAAGCATATTTGTGTTCTTGAGCTACTTGGGCATGGTTTGAGGTTAGAACCTCAGATATGGACTAGAAAGGACCTTGAGAGTCCAAAGATTTGAACTTTATTGAGTTAGAGGCAAGTCCCCATGCATTTGACCTTCCTTGGAGCTTGTTATGACATTATGGAGCATTTATGGCATGCATGGTCATCAAGATCGAACCTTTACGTGACTTTTGGGTATTAGGAGGCTAGATCTAGAGGTTGGAGTTGCATATCTGACCTCAGACGTCCAAATGAGACATCCAGATGAGTCAACTCACCGAGTCTATGAGATGACTCGACGAGTCGGATCAGGTTGCCACAACGATTCGTGACCCAGTAATAACCCGTCGAGTTAGGGGTTAACTCGACGAGCTGTGTGAGACCCTTGGAAGAATTCAGAGGATGAGAGTGGACTCGGCGAGTCACCTGAGTGCACTCAGCGAGTCGGGTCAACTTTGGTTGTTGACTCATATTGACTTCTGTTGACTTGAGAGTGGGTTAATTAGGAGCATTGAGATCATGGAGGGGTAAAATGGTCTTTTACCCATCCAAGAGAGTAGAAAGAGAAAAGAGGACTTTAGGTG